TGCCTGGGATAAATGCCCAGGACTGCAATTGCTGAGTTGTATGGTAGTTACATGTTTAATTTTTTTTTGGTGAGGAAGATCGGCCCTGAGCTAACGTCCATTGCCGATCTTCCTCTTTTTGCTTGAGGAAGATTGGCCCTGAGCTCACGTATGTGCCCATCCTCCTCTATTTTGTATGTGGGACGCCACCACAGCATGGCTTAAGGAGCTGTGGGTGGGTCCATCCCCAGGATTGGAACCTGCGAAGCCCGGGCCGCTGAAGTGGAGCACGCAAACTTAACCACTATGCCACTGGGCCGGCCCTCCGTGTTTAATTTTTAAGGAAATTGCCAAGTTGTTTTCCAGAGTAGCTTTCCCATTTTACATTCTCACCAGCAAGGTATGAGTGATCTTCTTTCTCTGCAACCTTGCCAGCATTTGGTGTTGTCACTATTTTTTGTTTTAGCCATTCTGATAGGTGTTCAGTGATACCACATTGTGGTTTCAATTTGCATTTCCCTAGTGACTAATGATGGTGAACCTCTTTTCATGTGCTTATTTTCCATCTCTGTATCCTCTTCAGTGAAATGTCTGTTCATGTATTTTGCCCATTTCTATTTATTTATTTATTTATTTATTTATTTAATTTGCTGAGGAAGATTCGCCCTGAGCTAACATCTGTGCCAGCCTTCCTCTTTTTGTATGTGAGCCACTGCCACAGCATGGCCACTGACAGATGAGTATTGTAGGTCCACACCTGGGAACTGCACCCAAGACGCTGAAGTGGTGCACACCAAACTTAACCACTAGGCCACTGGGACTGGCCCAATTCTGCCCATTTTTAATTGGAGTTTTTTTTTATTATTGTAGAATTTGGGGAGGTCTTTATATGTTTTAGATAACACTCCTCTACAGCACGTGTAGTTTGCAAATATTTTTCTCCCGGTCCTTAGCTTGCCTTTTGATCCTCTTCCTTGATAGGAATTGTGTTAAGCCTGTATATCAGTTTGAAGGGACTCGACTTCTTTGTTGAGAAGACAAAAAGAAAAAAAAACAGGAACTCACCACTGTGTCATTCCTTGGGTCCTGAGGTCCCTAGCCGGTGGGCCTTCTTCTCGACCTTTCAGAATCTCCTTATGTTTGTTTGATATGGAATGTCCAGGGCTTTTCATTGTATTTAGCAAGAGGATGAGAGAAAAGTACGTCTACTCCATCTTCCTGAAAGTGGAAGTCAGCATTCTTTTTTTTTTAATTTTTAAATTTTTTATTTTTGCAGGGAAAGATTCACCCTGAGCTAGCATCTGTTGCCAATCTCCCTCTTTTTTTTTTTTCCTCCCCAAAGCCCCAGTGCATGGTTGTATATCCTAGTCGTAAGTCCTTCTAGTTCTTCTATGTGAGCCGCCACCACAGCCTGGCCACTGACGGATGGTGTGGTTCCGCGACCAGGAAATGAACCTGGGTTGCCAAGGAGGTAAGAGCGCTGAACTTTAACCACTAGGCCATCAGGGCTGGCTCCAAACATTCTTTTTTTAAGTTGGATCAGAGGTTGTCAAGTTTTCTGCTTTCTGGGGCCCACTTAGTTTTCATCATGGATAAAATAGGGTAAACCCCCACATTAAAATGGACCACTAGAATCTGTTTTTTTTGCAGTGTATTGAAAACAGAAGTTGACGGGCTGCATGTTAGAAAGTCATCAGCTATGATCTCTTACGTCTTTCTAAGACCACCACTCCTGCACTAGGACCTTCCGTCGCTTCCCAATACCTCTCTTCCTAAACATCAGTTTCTCCTCCTTCCTCGAGGGGCCACCTGAGAGCAGGCTCTCTCTTCCTCAGACTGGTCCGCCCACTCACATGCCTCAAAGGCGCCAAGTGTGATGACGCGGCGTCCTCTGGGCAGACAAGGGGACGGGGGCTCTCCCCTGTCCTTGGTCCTAGATTTTAGAAGTAGAGGAATTTTGACATTGATCAGCTTTTATGACTGCTCATTGATGGAATGGAGACAGCCATCCCCTCCAAGGTGAATTCTCCAAAAACATTCTCCTTTCTCCACCTCTCCACTAGCCACCTGGATGGTTCTCAGAACTGTCTGAAATTCTTCGCTTTCTCCAGTGGCTGGTGAACTCTTTTCCTTGAAAATACTGCCATTGTTGGCAACTGATTTATCTGGTATGGCTGTAGCCAGCTCCACCCATGTTCTGTATGGGAAGTAAAGAAGGATCTTCTGTAGAATGCCTCTGAGAATTGTCACCTTGTGGGCCATCACTTTCTGGGCCAGCAAATGGCACCACAACTGCTCCCTGTCCCTCATTTCTCTTCCCTCACCTTCCAGCGGCCACCACCTCCCCGACTCCATGTATTCCTAAAAGGAAGGAAAGGTTTGGTGAATGACTGTGTGGGTAAGACACTGTGCCGTTCTGGGGCCTGCACATCTGCACAGAGGCTGGGCTGCCCTGGCAGTTTGCACTGCTACTCCTGAAACGCATGTCATAAGGTTCTACTGCGTGCCCGGTGCCGTGCTAGGAACCCAGAGGTTGGCACAATCTTTTCTCTGTTCCTTCAAACACAGTTTGTTTCTTCAGGGAGTTACAGAGTCCTGAGGAGGGACAAATCAGCAAACAGAATTCGAGTGACAAGCATTCTGATTGGGGGAGCACGGCACACACTGGGCGTGCACACAGCCCCAGCAGGAAGGGGTCCTTGAGAAGGAGACACCAGAGCAGGATCCTGTGGGATCTGTAGGAGTTGACCAAGCATTGGAAGGGACGTGTGCAAAGGCCTAGAGTGAGTGAGGCTGGGCCAGGAGCTGCAGTTGGTGGTGGTCTGGAGCTCAGAGCGTGAGGAGGCTAGCAGGGCAGGCTGGGGTGGGGACAGCAGTGTCCACGGATGGAAGCGGGCAAGGCGAGAGGGAGACACGGCAGGAAGGCTGCAGGCTGTGGGGCTGGAGCGAGGAGGTGAGGCGTGGTCTCTGACCAGCAGCAGCAGCAGCAGAAGCAGCAGTAGCATCCCAGGGTGCTTGCTAGGAGTGTGGATTCTGGCCCCTACCCTCCTGAATCAGACACTCTGGGGAGGGGCCTGGGGACCCGTGTCTGACAAGGCCTCCAGGGTTCCTGGTGCCCGCCCAAGTCTGAGAGAATTAAAGAGATGTGACAGAGGAGAAATGAGGATGGCGAGGGACAGGGAGGGAGGATGGGCCGGTGTCTAGAGGACGGGCGGATGGTGTTACTGTGCCGAGCTGGGAATGCGCATCCTGGGTCTGAGCGTGGCGCGTGCAGAGGAGGGAAGAGCCAGATGGAGTCCTGGAACCACACGAAAGCGGCAGGACCCTCAGGGCCCAGCGCCGAGTCTGGGGAGCGGCCGTGAAGGAGGGAAAGCTTCAGGAGTGTCACGGAGGGAGCGGGCAGAGGCACAAGGGCTCGGGTCCCTACCAGAGTCCGCTCCTTCCTGGAAGCAGGTGTGTAGGCAGCGGTTCTCACACTTGGCGCATACTGCAATCACCTGGGGGAGCATTAAAAACACGGTGCCCCCCGACTCTGACTGCAGTGGTCTGTGGGCCACCTGGGCCCCCAGATGATGCTAATGTGCTGCCAGAGGTGAGAGCCGCTGCTGGGGGCAGAAATCCTGGAAGGATGTGTCCCGCTTCCACCTCAGATCTGCTCTGCTAGATACTAAAAAGCCTCGTGTCATCATGTAACTTGACTGAGAGGCTTTTCATCCTCACCTGTTTTCTTTGTGGGTCTTCTGGTATCTTTTAATTTCTGCTCGAAGACCCAGCCATCTCGGCCCTTTAGCAGTGCTGTTCCCACACGCTGCCTTTCATGCAGCATTAATGCAGCACTCACCTCTTGATTATCAAGTAGTTGAGAGTTTTATGACACTGGCCTCTCTACCCCGGCCACACAACTCTTAGTGCTACACCTGTCACTCCCCCCACTCCTGGCCCCCACCTGCTGGCGACTTCTTTTCTCCTTAGCATTGGTCACCTTCACAGGCACCAAACGGTTCCCTCATCTATTATGTTCAGGGTTGCTGTAGACTTTTTGTTCCCATCTCCCTAAGAATCGGCTCCCTGGGGCAGGGGCTGTGTTTCTGTTTGTCTCCATAACAGACTTACCTTCCTACAGTCAGCGCCACCTAACGACAGGGATGCGTTCTGAGACATGCGTTGTTAGGCGATTTTGTCATTGTGTGAACTTACACACACCTAGATGGTAGAGCCTACTACACACCTAGGCTACCTGGTGCTAATCTTACAGGACCACTGTTGTATATGAGGTCTGTTGTTGACCGAAACATTGTTATGTGGTGCACGACTGTAATTATGTTTGACTCAGCTTAATATCAAGATCACTTATGTCGGGCCAGCCCGGTGGCTTAGCAGTTAAGTGCGCGCGCTCCACTACTGGCGGCCCGGGTTCGGATCCCGGGCGCGCAGCGACGCACCGCTTCTCCGGCCACGCTGAGGCCGCATCCCACATACAGCGACTAGAAGGATGTGCAACTATGACATACAACTATCTACTGGGGCTTTGGGGAAAAAAAAGGAGGAGGCCTGGCAATAGATGTTAGCTCAGAGCCAGTCTTCCTCAGCAAAAAGAGGAGGGTTAGCATGGATGTTAGCTCAGGGCTGATCTTCCTCAGAAAAAAAAAAAGATAACTTATGTCCCCTGCCATGCAATGACAAGAGAAGGTGTCTTGGAGACGCTCGTGATGGTAGAATTTTGGTTTAAAACTTTTATCTAATACACACGATTATAATCAAGCTTTATCTTGTAAAACACATGGTGGCAGTGGTGACAAGACAGCAAGGAAGAAAATGACAATCAAAAGCAGTTGCTATTTTTTATTTTGCCACTCAAAATCAAATAATGACCAAAGGAAAAACATCTTACATGATAACAACACAACATGCGAGCAGAGAGGATAGGAATGGTTTCCCTGTGTCAGATGGCACAGATTAGCCATCATCTTCAAGTTTGACTTTAAATGACAACATGCAGACTCTCATGCCCGCCAGCTTCCTCAGGACTGCTCCGTGTCTTCTGAGGAAATGGCCGGTGGGAGAGCGGGCAGGCGCTGCAGGGCCCCGGCCTCTGCAAAGAGAAGAACCACGTTTAGGCAGTAAGCCCCAAAGGTCTGCACGAGGGAGCATCACAGCTCGCGACACACAGCACAGAGTGACTATGGTCATTCTCTGTCGAGAGTCTCAGATCAAATCTAAAATCAGGCACAGTTCATATTTCTCCCCTTTTAATGCTTTAACTCATACTTAGTTGCAATTGAAACTGTCAGACTTTTAAATTCATGCTTTAAAGAGGTGTAATTCCTGTTTGATTAATAAAAATTATCTCCTAATGAAACAAGTTCCATGTTACAAAATTCAAAACATAACGAAACAAACTAAAACACAAAGAGACCCTGAGAGAGTCAGTCTGCCCCTTGCTGGAAAAGTCACCAGCAGACTGTGGCAGAGATTTCCCCAAAGCCTCCATGGGGCTCAAATAGAGGAACTTGGTTACTTGGTTTTGAGATTTCTAACGAACACAATCGTTTCCAAGTCGTCCTCCCACCATCTCCCTGCCCGTGGATGGTTCTGAGGAATAAGCAATAGGCCTTAAGTCTCCTCCCTCTGCTTCTATCCCCCTCCCCACGCCCACCCGAAGTCCTTCAACCAAGGGAGTGGGGCCAGAGAGCAAACAGGGCAAAACAGAGCCAAAGAATTAGCCTCTTCCAAACTCCCAACAAAGTTGTGAAGTGCAAAGCCTGAGAGCATCAAAGCAGCCATCTCCCCTGTGTCCCCAGCCTACCCCCTGTGGCTGACTTGCAGAGCACCTTCGACAGGAGCAGTTTCAACCTGTGTGATTATCTGATTAAGGCCAGACTCCACTGTTGAATGAATGACAAGCATATGCAGGATGGAAATGCCAGGGTTAATGAGGGATGGAAGTTCTAGGGCTGAAATGGGTCCACCGGGAGGGCCTCGTCAGCTATAGTATCCTCGGAAGTTACTAGACACCAGGATGGAGAACCATTTGATTTAAATGCAGCCTGCCCTGCAGGAAGGCTGCCATAAAGAAAAATCACAATCTGAAACACGGGCTCCTATTAATTTACCATGCTTACCAGATATGCCTATAAGATGCCTATAAAGAGCCTGGCTTGTACTATCCTGTAGCCATAAAAGGTACAGCAGTTGTTACCATGCCATGAACGTGGGTCCAGCAGAGGGAACTGAACCGAGGCCCTCCCTCTCCCTGGTAACAGTGTTGGTCTGATGACCCTTTCCAGGACAGTGTCGGGACAGCAGCAATCCCGGCCCCTCTGTAACCAGTTGTAGTCCCTGTGCCTTGTAATCCCAACCAGCTGCCATGCCGGGAGGCGCATAGGTGGATGACAGTTACTTCCCAGTAGAAGTCTATGCAACCCTTTCTTGACCGGCTTTTCATGTGCCCAGGGCTCTAAGAGTGGAAATTTAAACCAGTAATATTTCACATACCTTTGAGATGCAAGAAAGTCAGAAAGTCGATTATCGTGCGCACAACATCGTTCTCAGGCAGTGGCCTGTCATGGCTTCCTAGAAACCAGAAAGGATCGGTGCTTACAACCTACCCCAACGAGCCTGTGTCTTACATCACCGTTTACGGAGACCTGGGCACCACCCTGGGAGGTAACGAGAGTGAAGGACTCGGAGCCCTGGGATTAAAGCCCCCTCACCTGGCCTCGAGTCGTCTTCAGGCTGGAGTTCCCGCTTGCCAGCGAGGCCATGCTTGTCATGAAATGACCTGTGGTTGTCGATGGCATCTGTTTGCAAATCACAGAGGACAGCAGTGAACGTGTTACTATAATCATACCCTCCTCTCTCCCACAGAAGGGCACACGGCTGCTTCTAACCCAAACGCACACACACCGGACTGTAAAAACACAGCCACACTGTAGAACCATGGAGTTCGTTCTCCGTGGAACCTGAGGTAAGGACCTCTACCAGGCTCCAGGCTCAGTTCTCACACCAATGCTGGGGCTCTAGGAGCAGGAGGGAGCCGGCCCGTCAACGGGGATAGAAGGGAAAGCATATGGCTCCAGCAGGGCCGGACAGGCCCCGGGGAGCGCAGGCCTGGTGCAGCAGGTGGGGGTGGGAGCGCCAAGGAGGGTCCCAGAGGTGCTGGCGACCGAGCTGGGTGCCCCCCAGGCCAACAACAGGGGCTGGGGTCCTAGGTCCTTGAAAACAAGGGGGGCACCGAAGAATGTTAAGTTCTGATGTGATCATATTTTTAGTTTTCAAAGATCACTCTGGCAGCTGTGTGGGAGATGGGAGAGACAGAGACAGAGACAGACAGACAGACAGAGAGGAGAAGGAGGAGAAGAGGGAAGGAGGGTAGGAGGGAGCTTGAGTGACTCTGAGCGTGTTGTGTGTGTGTGCGTGCATGTTGTGTGGTGTGAATCGTGACTGCAAGCAGAGAGATCCCTTAAGAAACTACTGGAAAGAAAGAATGAGGGCTCTGAACCAAGTGGCCTGGAATGAAGAGAGAGGTTAGATTTGGAGGCCGTTTAGGAGAAGGAGACAAGGAGGGTGAGGATGCTCAGGGTTTCTGGCTACTTAGCCTGGTGGGTTGTGTCATCTGCAAGGAGAGACAAAAGAAAATTAATTCCTTTTTCCAGAGACAGAATTCTTAGCACTAAATTTAGAGGGATGATAAGTAACCTGACCCGTGTGATGCGCCCTTGAGTGTCGTGAGACTCAGACTGTCTTCAGCAGCAGCTGCTGCAGCATGATCTTTATGCTGCCATTGTCTACGCTGACAACAGATGTCACGGGCGTCCTGTTAAGCTGTAAAGTACGTGGGCAAACAGCTAGTCTAGATGGACAGCTCCTGGTGAGCCAGCTTGAGAGAGAGAGAAACTTGATAGTGAAAAAGAGTTTGTTTCCTACCTCAGGCTTCAAAATCTTCTTGATAAGTATATTTTCAATATTCCAAAGTCACACAGATAAATGTTTTTGTGGAAGAGTCCCTCCTTTCTTTTGTGCCAGAAGCACGCAGAGACAAGACGCTTTCTGAGCGACAGAACTCAGGGTTGCCGAGAGTTCAGGAAAACGTGCCCCTTTGAGCCAGTCCATCCCTCCTGCAGGCAAGGCCACTCCACTTTCAGTGAAAAGACCACTCGGGGACCTGCCATTGCTTTTGACCTGAGAGCAAAGGCCTGCCTGTAGATCCTGCCTGTGGCCTCGCCCAGTTTTTATCATATCTCTGCCTGTGTTTCTCAAAGCCCGGCTCTGGACGACCCTCCAGGTGATTGGATCAACAACTGTCTGCAGTAGGAGAAAGTCTGTATTTAAACTTTGGGATTAAGAGCTAAGATAGCTCCCCACAGTAGTTTAAATGGGCACCATTCCTCCCAGTTACTCTGGTGGGATGGGGATATGAGCTGTATGTTGTCGGCCTCCTTTCCTGGTGGCAGAAGGCAGTAAATAAATAGGGGAGATGCTTTTTAAGGTTGATGGCTGTCCCGAAGCCAACCATGCCTACAAACTGGAAAGCCACAGGTAGGTAAGAGATTGGAGGGGGAAGTGAACAGTCTCCCGCCGGCCCCTCCTTTGGGATCATGAAGATCTGGAGGTGCCACTGCAGACAGAGGGCATGCAGAAAGCAGGGGCGGGGGCAGGGAGGGCGGCAAGGGGAGGCATCAACACGTGCAGCCTGCAGGGTCCCAGAGCTGTCCCCTTCGGGGCTTGGTCACCTAGAGGCACGGCCTGTCTGTGCACACTGTTGCCTCCTGCTCCTGCTTAGGAATTCCACAGCAGTGAGCAAATCACTGTGCTCTGGACTTGGTGTGCTTGTGTGCCAAGGCAGCCATCAAACTAGGGGGTGTCTGAAATTCCCAACTCTTGAGTCATTGGATTCTCTGCGTGATGAGTGTAATAAAACTACTCATACTGTGTCCAGACAATGTCAAATTAAAGACAAGACACCAAGTATTAGTCCACCTACAGGATGGCAAAATCTGGGTATAGATGGCTGCAGGCCAAACCCCACACACTTGCGTTATATGCACACACAAGCACACACACACACCACCACCCACTGTCTACAGGTTTTATCTGGTAGATACATTGAGCAGAGCCAAAGCACAGCACGGCCTGAAACCCTGACCGACTACTGCACATTGCCAAGTGTCCTCCCATCCCACATCTTGCCCAGACTTGAGCTTTCAGCGCAGAGAAAGTGCTAATGAGGCAGACTGCGGTGGAGCCTGTGGCCCCTGGCCCCTTCTGGAAACATTAGGACTCAGATCAGCTGATCCATTTCCACACAGCGCCCAAGGCAAGGGGCGTGGGCACCTCCCGCCTCTCCTGTGGGGTCAGGTGGAAGCCCCTGCCCACCAGCCCTGCACGAGGCTCAGTCACACCCAGTGAGACCTTCACCTGCTTAAGTCACCTGACCCCACGAACCATGTCCTCAGGTTGACTAGTTAATTTGCCCGGCTTCCTTCTCTCCACTCCTCTCCTCCCAGAGGCATCTTAATCATTCAGTAATATTCAAAGTCCTGCTCTGTCCCTGCTAAAGCCACAGGGATGCCTGACATTCTCTGTCCTCAGAGAGCAGCACTGAGAGGGATCCCAGTGATGACTGTGGGCTGGGGAGGGAACAGGTTTGGAGCAGGAAGAGAATGGTCTACATTTAGTTTGGGGTGAGCTCGTTTTGGCTATCCTCAGGTCATTTTGCAGTTCCCATCCAGGGCTCGGAGAAACCAGAGACGGGGATGGGGCTTGGGTGCAGTGGACTTCCGGTGCTTTGTGGAGCTCAGGAGTAGATGGGAGTTTGGGGAGGCACAGAGGGACCTGGGAGAGGGAGAGCCCAGAACAGAGCCCCGAGGAATGTCTGCCTTCAAGGACTATAACCCGGGGAAGCCTGAGCACAGCTGGGGCTGGGAATCCCACGGAGGTGCAGGGCAGGAGAGCCAGAGGAAGGAGAGGCTTCTGGGAAGGAATAGTGCCCGGGTCAAACGTGCAGAGGAGTCGAGCCTGGCGAGACTGCAGCCGACCCCAGGAGAGCTTTCTGGGGGGCGGGGGGTGCAGCCCTGAGGAATGGAGGCAAAAAGGGGAAGCCTGGTGGGGAGGCAGGAGAGGGTGTCGAGGGTCTGCCAGCCGCAGGCCGGGTCGGGGTTCAAGACAGAGCCAGGTGCCTCAAGGCTGGCGGGGATAGGATTTAGCCCATCTGCGAGTGAGGGGAGCAGAGTAAAGGTGGAGGAGGAGGATGCTACAGGTCTGGGCTGCCTCTCAGGGAATGGGAAGAGGTGCCACCCAGGGACATGGCAAATGTTTTCATCAACTGATGGTTAACCTGCCTGGAAACCCATCCTGCCTCTAACGGCCCCCGTTTCCTGTTATCTGACTAAACCTGGAGTATCAATGTACCAGAATGATGGCTGGCTACACGTATTACAGAAAGAGCAGGATTAACACAAACGGCTGCAGTCAGCATGAGAAGAGCAGGTTCCCTGTGGAGAGGCCATGCATGCTGCGTCACTTACGTGGACCAAGAAGGTAGCCAGCGCTGTTCAGGGTCCAGCCTCTCTTTTCCTTCACCTTAAATGGGAGAAAAGGGGGTCACATGGCCAAGATCCGTCCTGGAACAGGCTGCGTTGGCTCAAAGGAGCCCCAAAGGCAGTCTCTCTTTGCAGAACCCACCATGGTACCCTGTGAAGTTACTGATACTTCAAATAATCACAGAATTTAAATTCCAAATACACTTTATTACGTGTTCCCATAATCAGCCAAGTGTGCACACTGTTAAAGCAAGAGCGAGCATTTGGTGAAACTCACCAGGCTTTCCAGGCAGAATGTAGAATTGGAATAATGCATGTACTTTTGGAAGCTGCAAGAAATTTCAGATTTGCCCCCAAATAAGCTATATTTGACATGAAAATAGGCCTACTTGCTTCACCAAATAATTCGCTTTAGAGCCATAAGCCACAGACTCACTGTGCACCCACCTGCTTTTAAGTGATGCTGGGGAGTGTGTTGATAACACTGGCTCCCACACGCTGTAACTGATCCTCTGCTGAACCGAATGAAACAGGATTGGCTTCGAACTCGTCTAAGGCGCTAACCTACAGTACTGCAGTGTCCAGACTACCGGTTTATACCCGGGGGCTGTTTATGTAGCGGGAGAGGCGCCATGCCAGGAGAGTCGGGGAGCATCTCGGCAGAAACCCCGCCCTCAGCCCTGCCTTTTGGAGCCCGGCTGGCCGGACCCCCTTCCCTGGCCAGAGCCTTCCCAGGCCCCCACCCTCGGCGCGGGCAGAGCTGTTGTTTGTTTCTGCTCCTGGCACAAGGCGCCCACCCTCCTGAGTATGGTTCTGATGCAGATGACCCCCTTCGCGGAGAGGGGACACGGCTTGGGGACGTTTGTCCCCGCGCTGCACTTACCGGTGACCCGAGCCCCAGGGTGGCTGAAAGGGTCGCGGCGAGGAGCAGGGAGGCGAGCAGGAAGGCGCAGCCTCTGGGCATCTGCAAGGGAGGGCGTCGGGGGGCGGCCTCAGTCCCGGGAGTGGGGGGTGCCCGCGCACGTGGGGCGGAGGCTCGGACCCGCGGGGCGGGAGGGCGGCCAGGAGCGGGGTGACCAGGACTGAGCGGTTTGCGAGGCCCCCGGCGGCTGGTGCCCTGGCAAGGGGACAAGGGGACAGAGGCGGCACGCCGCCCCGGGATCGTCCACCCGCAGGCGGGTGCTCTGGAGGGGGGAACGCGGAGAAACGGGGCCGCCTCCAGCTGCCCCCGCCCCCAGTCCCGAGGGCGCGCGGTACCTTGAGCGGCAGCGCGTCCGGGGTGTCGGCGAGTCTCGGGGTGTCGGCGGGTCCCGGAGGTGTCGGCAGGTCCGGGCGTCGGTAGGGTGGGGTCTGGCCGGCCGGGGGCGCTCACCGCATGGCGTGGCCTCGGGGACGGGGGGCGGGAAGCGGGCGGCCGGGCTCCCTCGACGTGTCCGCGCCCTGAGCCGCCGCCGCCGCTCTTATGCGGCCGCGTCACGCGCTCAGTTCCCGCCCCCCGCGCGCTCGTGGGGCCCGAGGGGAGGAGTGACCTAACCCGGTTCCCTAGGGGCTCCGAGCGCCGGCGGGAGGGAGGGCCGCCATGTGGTCGTGTATTACGGGTGGGGGCGGCGGGGACGGCGGAGAGACTCCCTAACCCTGCGGGAGAGCCCCCATCACCCTGAATGGAGACACCCCAAACCCTGCGGGAGAGCC